CTTTCCTAACTTTCCTAAATAGGAAAGAAGTCATGTCTTCCAGAAACATCTTTCTGGATAGAGAACTGGACCCAAAAGAACATAATTGGGTTAGAGGATGCACAGTAAGGTTTTCATTTAGTTAAGGGCGGGGGACTTATAACCAACTGCTCCACCATTGTTTAATGCAAGGCGTTTCCAACCTCAGTCTTGCAATTGGCAAAGTATGCAGAACCTGAGCAGCTTCATGGTCCCAGTTCTTTCCCCATATTCTAGACAAAGCCATGCTACACAAAGCCTGATCAGAGGCAATGGGAGAGAGAGAGAGAGAGAGAGAGAGAGAGAGAGAGAGAGAGAGAGAGAAAGGGTTTTTGTTTTGTTTCTGTCTGATCTATTCCTTCACCACAAATTGCTGTTTTTACAAATCTGAATTATTACCAAAGAAGACTTCTCATTCAGAAATCAATAAGGAACTTACTGGTATAAAAACAGGTAGCAAAGCAAAAATGAAAGGAAGGAATCAGGTTTCTTCAGCTGGGGGCAGAGGGGAGGCTGAGACCCAGCCACTCTGGGTGAAATACCAAGCAGGATTAGGAAAGCTGACCCCCTAAAGGTTGCACTTGACTCTCCAGATCCCCATTCTAACCTGCACTCCACCTGAGGAGGCAAGGCCCAGCACACCCCTCCATCTGCTCTAGACATTTCCTTCTGGTAGAATGTGGGCCACTTTGGGGCCAGGAGCTATGGGCACAGGGCAGTGGCCAGTGGGCTGGAGCACTGGTTTCACAAAGCAGGGTCCACCTGGTAACTCTGAAACTTGCAGGTCTCTCTCAATTTACAAGACAGAATTTCTGGGGGAAGTTAGAATTAATTTTTTTTTTTTTTTTTAGTTGTAGCTAGACATGATACCTTTATTTTATTTATTTATTTATTTTTTTGTGGTGCTGAGGATCAAACACAGTGCCTCACACGTGCTAGGCAAGCACTCTACCACTGAGCCACAATCCCAGCCCCAAAGTAGTTCTTATATAAAATAAAATGTAAGAATCACCAAGAATGAACGTAAGAAGCAGCAATCTAACAAATTTGTCAAGTATTCATTATGCACAAAATAACGGCTCCCTGAAGATGTCCATGTCCTGATCACCCGAATCTGTGACTATACAGAAGAAAAGGGAATAAAGGTTGCCAATCAACTGGACTTAAAATGAGATTAGACTGGATCATTTAGGTGTAAACACAAGAGTCTTTAAAAGTAGCAAGAGGCAGAAGACAAATCAGAGAAGTTCAAATGATGAGAGAAAACCCCACAGTGATGCAATGGGAGAGGGATTCAGCCTGCCATTACATGCTTGGAGGATGGAGGAAAGACTGCCAGCCAAGGGATGTGAATGGCCTTTAGAAATTGCCAGAAGCAAGGCCCATACCCTTGTCAATACCTTGATCTTATTTCACTGAGACCTGCACCAGACCCATGACCTACCAAACTGAGATCATAAAGTCTGCGTTTTTTTAAGACTATTTGTGGCAATGTTTTATAGCAGCAGTATAAAACCAGTACAAAGAAGTTAATAGTAAACAATTACATTCAAATACATTGATAGATGTGATATAAAAAATGAGCATGTACAGAATTATTTCTGAAATGCATAAGGTTTAAGAGACTTCAAAGAGCACAGGCCCAGGCTGATTCCAAATCTTGGCTAATGTGAGGAGTTGTTATAGTTTGGATCTTGAACGTCCCCCGAGGCCCACTGTGTTGAAGACTTGTTCTCCAGCCCATGGCACTATTGGGAGGTAGTGGAACCATTAGGAGGTGGGGTCTAGCAGAAGGAAGTCAGAGCATTGGGTACATGCTCTTGAAGGGAATATTGGGACGTCAGTCTATTCTCCCTTCTCTCTTGCCCTCTCTTTTCACTTCTTGGCAGATTTGGGAAAATATTCATCAATGGTTCTAAGTCACAGTTAAGAGAAGTAAGTTCATACATTTCAGTACCTGTAACTTCCTCCACCTCCACAATCAGACACTCTCTCCATGATATCCTGTGCTGCCACAGGCCCAAGACTACAGGGCCAAGCAACTATGGACTGAAACCTTTGAAACTGTGAGCCAAAATAAACCTTTCTTTCTAATAAGCTCATAATCACAGGTATTTTGTTATGATGACATAAAGCTAATCTGAGAGTGCTGCAATAAATATGTAAATGCAGTTATTCTTCAATATACTGATTTCCTTTCCTTTGGATACATACATACCCATTAGTGGGATTGCTAGGTTGTTATAGTTCTATTTTTAACTTTTTGAGAAGCCTCCACACTGTTTCCACAATGGCTATACTAATTTACATTCCCATAAACAGAAGTGGAATCAACCTAAGTGAATATCAACCGATGAATGAATAAAGAAAATGTATATATTAAATACATATATGAATATTATTTGGCCATAAAAGGGATGAAATCCTATTATCTATGACAACATGGGTGGAACTGGAGTACATTATATAATTACATTGTTATATTTTTGCAGCATTGCTATATGCAAATAATATGCAAATATGAACACCACCCTTTATGAGGATAAATTTTTCTTTGATTTCTCTGGCTTCTAAAGCAAATCCCATTTGGAAAATAAAAATAGAAAATTACTCTGTGTTGGGTTAAATTTTGTTCATACATTTCAGTACCTGTAACAATGCTCCCAATGGCACCCCTAAGCTTAAAGTGCCTTGTTCATGCAGAAGAATATTGTGAACTTGAATTACGTTAGATAGATAGTACTAGTGACATATAAATAAACCAGGCACAGAAAGACAAATACTGTATGATCCTACTTATTTGTGAAATATAAAAAAATTAACTTATAGAAGTTGATAGCAGAACCGTTGCCAGAAGATGAGAAGAGTAAAGGGTGAGTAGGCAGATTTGGGAAAATATTCATCAATGGTTCTAAGTCACATTTAAGAGAAGTTCTGATCAGTTATTGCACACTAGTGTGCCTATTACATAGCAACAATGTACTGTATATGTCAAAAAAGCAAGAAAAAAGATTTTGAATGTTTTTAACCACAAAGAAATGATAAATTTTTGAGGAGATAAAATACATTTACATTATACAATGTATGCACATATTGGAATGTCACATGGTACCCATAAGTATGTCCATTATTTATGTGTCAATTAAAGTAATTTTAAATAAAAGAAAAGAGTAAATATATCTTTTTATTTCCCCAGATAAGTGTGACTTGGGGATTTGTTATATAAATAAAGAGATGAATTAACAATGTGTAAAAAGAAGAGATACTTATAAATGCTGAAGGCAGAAAAAAAGGTGATTCTGAGAATAAAAATTTGCTAGAAATTGGATCTGAGTATAAACATGAGGTCTGAAATAAAACCAAAATTGAAAAAAAAAATTTCCCACCTGTTAGAATGAGATCATATTTCTAGGTCCTGATTTCTATCAAGCCTCCTTATGACAGCTGCACTGATTATTTCCATGTTAGCTTCTGAAGGTCCACTTCCCACCCATCTCCCTGAGGCTCTGTACCTGGTATAGGTTTGTGGATGGCACCACCAACTCCCCTACCTTCATGGAGGCAGCGGAGGCAGCTGGGTTCCACCAGAGGGCAGCACCTGCAGGAGACTGGAAGGCACTCCTGCTAGGGGCTGACCTTGCTCTGGTTCCACCCTGAAAGGGTATCCTTAAATTTTATGCACTAGGCACCTTCCTTGCCTCACTCTACAGTAACACCAAGGAAGAAATAAATTCTATCTAGGATCCAGGAAAGTCTTCCAGAGAAAGTGGCAATTTGATGACTACTCTGAGCCCAAAGAGTATCTAAAATTCTCACGTTTTTCACATAACCTATTCCCACCCCACCCCACAATAGACTAGTTTGGATGAATTACATCAAAGTTCACATAGTTAGGAAAGCAAAAATGAAGTCATGAAAATATAACCTGACAGTACTGCTGAAAACAATTAAACTTCAAATGACCCTGGATTAAGCAATTTACATTATTATTATGTATATGCAACATTGTTATATGCAAATTATATGCAAATATGAACACCACCCTCCATAGGGATAGCTTTTTATTTGATTTCTCCGGCTTCTAAAGCAAATCCAATTTGGAAAATAAAAATAGAAAATTACTCTGTGTTGGGCTAAAATTTGTTTATGCATTTAAATGCCTATAACAATACTTCCAATGGCACCCCTAAGTTAAAAAAGTGCCTTGTTCATGAAGAAGAATATTATGAACTAAAATTGCACTAAATGGTACTGGTGAACCACAAAGATATTTCCATCTGTGTCTATAGGGACTTGAGCAGGTGAGTAACCCAACCAGCCCATAGGCAAAGGTGGTCATGATAGATTAAATTTATATATGCTTAGACATGAGTTTCCTGCTAATTTTGGTAATTTCTCATGCCTTACCCTCCTTGGGATCTTGAATGCCCTTCTCAACCTCAAATATTTTTATGAAAAATATAATAACAAAAGCATATGAAGAAGACTGTGGCAGAAGAAGGTGGTAATATTAATGTTCCAAATAAGGCTACAAGAAATTCAGAAGTGGAACTTCCTCCACCTCCCCCAGCATTTGTTTCCTGCCCATAAACAGGAATGCCACACAGTGTTGCTTCCACTTATTTTTAGAAAAAAAAAATGTAAAAAGATTTTTTAAAAATAAACCCCATGGATCTGCAAGCTCTCCAGTGAGCAGCACAGCCAGCTTTGCTTGTTTGTTTTGATTTGTTTTTGTAATGGTACTGGAGATTAAACTCAGGGGTGCTTTTCCACTGAGGTACATCCCCAGCCCTTGTAATTTCTTTTCTTTTCTTTTTATTTCTTTCTTTCTTTTTCTTTTTTTTTGAGACAGGCCCTCCCTAAATTGCTGAGGCTGGCCTCTAACCTGCAAACCTCCTCTTTCAGCCTCCTGAGTTGCCCATGGTGCCCAGCTAGCTCCTGAGCATCAGTGTTCCTTCTGGTGGCTACCTTCACAGGCCTACCTGAGCCGGGAAGAACCAGAAGAAGAGGTTGCTGTTGTAGGTCTTATTCACAGTGAGGTAGCCAGAGTAACTGTGTATGTTCAGTCCTAGAAAAGCAGTGACCGAACTCAGTTTTCTTCCTAGTGGGGAAAAAGAAAATTTACCCGAAGATTAGAGAAAAATATACAAGGTGAGCTATCTCAGTCTTGGCAAGACTTCACCCAGGTACCAGATTGGGGACGAAGTGAGCAGAGAATTCACAAAGGATTTAGCAGACAGGTACTTAACTCAGCCAATGCCAGCTTCCGCCACCCGTCCCATATATTCCACATACACGGTTTAGCAAGTGAAAATTTTGAACCTTTGCAGAGGGAATATTTTGAGTTGTATAAGAAGGAAGAGAAAAGAAACAGCTATTATCACATCGTGAGTAAATCAAGGTGTTCACACTGGGCCACATGGAGAGGAGCAGGATAAAGCTACCTGACCCCAAAGAGTCAGATGCAAGAAAAACAACGTGGTCACAAAGGTCTCAGTCCTGGGAGCCCTATGTTCTCCACACTCTGGTTCTCATGAAGGCAAAGATCTGCCATGTCCATTCAAGGGAGCAGATAGAGGCCTACAGGACCAGGGGTGGTTGGAGCTGGAGGGAAGAGGCAGGCAGGGAGCCTGGTGGTGACTTATGGCTACTCAGGGAGAGCCAAATAGGACAATGGGGCAGTTGTACAAGGCAGAGTTCCGGGCTTTAGTACCAAGCAAACAGACAAGGACTGGAACGGGGAAAGAGGGAAGGAAGCTCAGACAGCTGAGGACACACAGGAGTAAATACTTGGAGGAGTTAAACACTTCTAAGGCAGTGGTACCAATGTAGGAGTTTTTTACAGATGAGAAAGACGAAGCACAGAGAGGTTAAATAACTTGCCTGAAGTCACACAGTCAGTGTAGGAGAGCTGGGATTTAGACTTAACTGCAGAATTTGTTCCTTCCCACGCCCTACTACAGGGCTGCTCAATAAGTTAGTGAGTAGGTGTAAGCAGCAGGGAGCAGAGGGGAAGCAGTGATTAGGAAGGGTGTGGAGAAGGAACAGAAAGTGGGTATCAGGGTGTGGAAGGAGGAAGCAGAAAGGGATGTCTGAGTGGAAGATGAGAGTCCTTCAGTGGCGATGTGCAATAAAGATTAACTACTCCAGAAAGGCTACTTAAGTCTGAGACAAGACAAAGAATATGTCCAATAAAAGTCAATGAAAGGCTATTTATATCTGACACATACAAAGTTAGAGGCTGGTTAGGAAGTAAGGAAGCTTTACATGCCACCAACTAAAGGTGGCTTTGGTGGAGGACTAGAGCCCATAGGCTCTGGAATGCTGAGTGCTGGATCCCCACATTCAGCCACATCACTGCCCTGGTGAGAATATTTACACCCAATGGAATGGGTGCTACAAATCAGAGCCCTGAGCCCCAGGGCGGCTGTTGACCTTTCACCAGCACAAGTGGCTCTGAGACCGCAAGCTCCTCTTTTACAATGAGCACGGCTCCCAAAGAGGAAACTCATCTTGCACACACAGTTCTTTTTCCCTAGTACTTTGCTGTTCCTAGCACTACTATTGGGCCAGTTTTGTGACCCCCTAGAGCAGCCATTTAACCTTCCTGTGCTTCATCTCCTCCTTTATGAAAGATGGGCTCCAGATGGTATAGGAATACAAGATTCCCCATGTGCAAAACCTGTGGGGAGGAGCTGGCATGCAGTGGGCACAGCCAGCATCTGCAAAATACATCTGCTGATGAACAGGAGAACCTGGGAGCAGAGGTCATGGTGGGGACAAGGGAAGTGTCCAGGGGCAGTTGCCCGAGGGTTCTGCTGGGCTGGCACAGAAGAGGAGGATGGGTTTCCAAGTTGACCACACCTGGGTTTGTGTCCTCACTAGGCCCCTCAGCAAGCTGCTTCATCTTGGAACCTCTTTTCTTTGGTGCAAAATGTGGGTACGCATTCCATGGCCACAAGCTTTCTGTGAGCCTCTGATGGAAAATTTGCATTTACAGGGGCTGGGGTTGTGGCTCAGCGGTAGAGCGCTCGCCTTGCACGTGTGAGACCCTGGGTTGGATCCTCAGCATCACATAAAAATAAATAAGTGAAATAAAGGCATTGTGTTCAATTACAACTAAAAAGTAAATATTAAAGAAAAGAAAAATGTACTTACAAACGTGCCCAGCAGGGAGCTGGACACAAAGAAAGTTCTGTTCAATGGGAGGCTGGCTGTCCCTAGCCCATGGACCATCCCAAAATGGCATCTAGAAGTCTGGAAGACCTGCCTTTTCCCGGATCAGCCCAGTTCTCCCAAACTCTATGTTTCACAACATTCTCTTCTCGGTGAGACCTACCCCTCCTGCTGTGGTCTGAATGTTCCCACCAAAACTCATGTGGAAATTTCATCCCTTATTATGAGGTATCAAGAGGGTGGGAATTTTATCTATGTATTTGAAGGTTGTGACTTAGTAGGTGATTATAGGTAAATGAGGCCAAAAAGGTGAGGCCCCAATCCAGTGGGACTTTGACTTTAGAAGAACAGAATGAGAGACCTGAGCTAGGACTTTATGTCTCGCCACATGATCCCTGGTACCATTCTGGGACTCTGCAAAAATCTTCACTAGCAAAAATGATCTCACCAGATCCAGCTCCGCACCTTAAGCTTCTCAGCCTTCAGAACTCTGAGCTGAATAAACCTTTATGCTTTGTAAATTACTTAGTCTGCGGTATTTAGTTACAGCAGCAGAAAACAGACTAAGAACAGAAAAAAAATGAAAGAAAAGAAAAAGCCGTGTTGGGGGTAGAGAAGGGCTGTAGGAGAAAGAGATTTCTGGGAACCAGGTATTTGCTGGCCCTCCCTCGACCCCTCTAATCTTCCCCCTAGCTGCCATTACCTTCTCTCCACTGCTTCTACTCTCAATTAATCCAAAGAAAGCTTACCCTCCAGGGTTGGACAGCCTTTAAAATGCTTTTGAAATATTTTTAGCAAAACTATTAATCTCAAAGTCAAACAGAGACACCTCTCCCCCAACCCAAAAAGAGAGAGAGGAAGAGAACAAAGACATAAAAATTGAACATTTGGAAATGGGTGAGATGTGGACCAGAGAGAGCCAAATAGTCAGGAGGGGATTTGAGAAAGAAGACAGAGAAAAATGAGAAGGGTCAAAGTATAATGAGAAAAATAGAAAATATATAATGGAAAAGAGCTGGAGGGAATGGAATACGGGCGAGAGATGATTGAATCAATCTGTCTTGAGGCCAGCACAGCACAGGGTCCACTGGCCTGCTCGGGGAAGGTTCAGAGACTCACCCCTCCCTACCCTCCTGGGAACACCAAAGTTGCTCTCTTGCTACTTTGTCCTTAGGTCCATTTCATGGTTTCCCTCCTCCATTCCAAACTGCCAGAAAGCAGGAAATTCTTCCTATTTCTCTTCATATCCCCTGGGATTTAGCATCCTGATTCACAATCTAAGACACTGAATAAATAAGTCTTAATGAATGCACATTAATGTAGGTGGCTGAATGAGAAAATAAATGCATGAACTATACCAGGCCGCGTGACACCATACTAGGGTTAGTTTATTTCCACCCCTGTAATCCCAGCAGCTCAGGAGGCTTAGGCAGGAGGATCGTGAGTTCAAAGCCAGCCTCAGCAACTCAGCGAGGCCCTAAGCAACTCAGTGAGACTCTTGTCACTAAATAAAATTTTTTAAAAGGCTGGGGATGCAGTTCAGTGGTTAGGTGCCCCTGGGTTCAATTCCTGGTTAAAAAAAAAAAATCTAATGAAAGACAACTTCATTAGTATTTGAAGACACTTAGAAGCCTTCCCTGTAGTCTATAAAGATGTGTTTGGCCCCTTTCACATCTTAAATTCCTGTTCACCAAATCACAGTAAAACAACTAAAATTTCTTTCAACCAACGGGAATTTTTGTATTTTCAAAGGTCCCGTTCATCCTTCCAGAGTCTGTTAATGGAATGTGGAAAACAACCCACCAAGATGGAGGAGTTTTTATCTTTCTGGCACCGTGACTCACCATACAAATGTTTAAAAACAGTTTTTCAAAAAGGAAGAGGTTTTCTTTGAAGTGATTTCACTTCCTCGTTGGTATTTACTGCTGTCACTGTGTTTGTGATATTAACACTTAAGGAAGATCGGAGTGTGGCCAAGGCAGGCTGGATCCAGCTAATCAGGAAGCATGTCCTGTTCACCAACACTCATCACCTCCTTAGCCCATAAGGAGTAAGAGGACCCAAGAGCAAAATACCCTTTAGAGTTTGGGAGACGCCCTGTTTGTAAACATGCTAAAATCTGTCTTCTGCATTCATCTTGTTTTAGAGAACAAGGATTTATTCTAGCTGCAGAGAAAGTAAACATGCAATTACAATTACATAAAACTAAGCCAGCTAATTGGGGATTAAAAAAATAAAAATTTCCCTTGTCTTTTTGTGAACTACTGTTTATCTCAAAAATGCTCAGTTGTGATACCAAGACTCATGTTCCTAGGGTTCTGACAAACTCGATAAACAAAAGGGATTTAGGGGAGTGATCTGACCATCTGTCCAGAGCTTCCTGAACTTTCAGCAAAGCGGATGAATAAAATTATCCTTAATTATGTTGTCAGGGCTGCATCTGAATACCCAGATGTACCAGCTTTTGGATCAGCCACTTAAAATTCCATGCAAAGATTTTGACTGCATAACATAACTTTAGAAAGTGACATTCCGTACAGATTCAGTGTCTTAAACATTGTCACTCATAGGGTGAAGATCTACCAGGGTTGGTGCAGAAGGACAGAAGATCAAACTATACCCCCTGGATTCTTTCTCCTCTTCTGCTTGTACCCAGAACTGTGGAGGGCTCATAGGCAAGAAAATCAGGAACAGGTGAGATGTGGACAACTCGATATTGTTTTCACTTGGTTCTGCCAGATTTATGACACAGACACACCAAGGTCATTTTCATTGAATGCCTTTGTTTAAGCTATCTTCCTCATTCAGGGGGCACAGACCTTTCACTATTTACTCAAATTTTCATACATACCCTCAAGTCTGGAGCTGATCATGCAGCACAGGGTTTCACAGCATGGGGTTCTGGGGTTGGCAGGCACAGGCTCTAATTCCGGTTCTGCCACTAATGAGCTTTATAGCTCTGGATAGGATACTTCATTTCTCTGAGACTCATTTTTCTCATCTACAAAGTGGTAACAATAATTATGCATTCTTTTTATTTTTTTGGACCCAGGATTGAACTCAAGGGCACTCAACCACTGAGCCACATCCCCAGCCCTATTTTGTATTATATTTAGAGACAGGGACTCACTGAGTTGCTTAGCTCCTCACTTTTGCTGAGGCTGGCTTTGAACTCGTGATCCTCCTGCCTCAGGCTCCCAAGCTGCTGGGATTATAGGCATGCTCCACCGCACCCAGCTCACATTCTTCATTAAGATTGCTCCAAGGACTAAATAAGCTAATGGATGTAGAAAACAATGCCTGACATGTGGCTGGGACTCAAATTTAAATTTGTGGCCAGGCACGGTGGCACTCACCTGTAATCCCAGCCTCTTGGGAGGATGAGGCAGGAGGATGGTGAGTTCAAAGCCAGCCTCAGCAAAAGTGAGGCGTTCAGCAACTCAGTGAGACCCTGTCTCTAAATATAATACAAAATAGGGCTGGGGATGTGGCTCAGTGGCTGAATGCCCCTGAGTTCAATCCCCAGGACAAAAAAAAAATGTTTTTCAATTTGCAAATATGTACTAAGTGCTTATGACATACAGGTACTATGCTAGGTATTGGGGCTATAATGACTAAATGTTAATTATTTATTATTTTTACTAATATAACTACCATTATCATTTTTCCCTAGATTATGTCCACCAACAGCTTCCTTCTTCAATTTTCCAGCACACCTAATTCAGATGTGATGCTTCAGTGTGCAGTGCCTTAATTATGTCATGTGTGCACATCTGATCACTTCAGAAAACCCCAAGCTTTTAAACAAAGGAAAATAACTACAGCAGGCAAAACACAGCAGAAGTCAGAAGATTTGGGCACTACATCATCTCTTCTAGCCCATCTCTATTACCTGTATCCCCTTGGGTAAATCATGTCAGGTATTTGAGTCTCAATTTCCCCATATGTGGACTGGAAGAAATCCTACTAAATTGATTATCATGGTTATTCAAATCCTTTTTTATATATATTTAGTGTAGATGGACACAATAGCTTTATTTTATTTATATTTTTTATGTGGTGCTGAGAATCAAACCCAGTGCCTCACACGTGCTGGGCAAGCTCTTTACTGCTGAGCTACAACTCTAGCCCCCAATTCCTCTTAACTTAAGCGGTTTGCTTTGATTTATCATTAGTGAATGTAGCCTAAGTCATCAGTGTCCAGTAATGAAAGGAGCTGAAGTATAGGTATGTGATCCAATTTTGGGCTTGGGTGAGTGATTCGATGCCTGCTCACACACTTCCTAAGGAATCAGCCTCAGGCAACAATCTTGTAGCTTTTCTACATCAGGTGAAAATGAGTCCTTTTTAGAAATATACTGAATACATTGTCAAAGTTTTTCTACCTTTCCTTAGGAAAGAGATGGTGAAACCTGGAGCCAATGTGCATTTCAGAAAAGGACACAGAAGCAGAACTTCAACCCTTAAAATATGAGAACATCTGGATTTTAAAACAAAAAATGATGACATCCTATTGGCTGAAAACATTTCAAGTGAAAAGAAAACTGTTTCCTTTTAAACTTCCTTATAGAATACTCAGATTTATTTTCAACCTTTAACAGTTTTCCTAAACTTTCCAGCACCATCCGTTCCCATTCCGTCTACCAGCACAGGCACAGACTCAGCCTTAGCCCCTGAGACTAGGGATGAGCATGCTCCACCAAGGTCTCTGCTACTTAACCACAGTCTCCACCAAGGGATTCCTCGTCCCCCTCCCCCAGCTCCTGCTCTCCTCATTTGTGCATATTATCCCTGCCCTCTTCAAGGAGCTTCCTTGACCCCATTGCTTCCACTGACCAACACCCCATCTCTCTGCTTCTCTTTACAAGCAACTCCTCAAAATAGCTGCTTGTAAGCTACTTCAGAGTTCAGGAATCTACTGAGATTAAATCACTCATCTACACCTTGATTTACCTGAGTACAAAGAAAACATAAGGGGAGATGTGGGTCATCAATTTTAGTCTCTGATAACATCAAATGACCTTTCTTTTTATTAACAATAATACTAGAAAAAGCCACAATCTATAAAATAAATCCATTCGCAAACATTAGTGTTTAGAGGGCAATTTATAAGATCAAAGAGTTTTCAGGTGCTTTTTCTCATTGAATTCTCATAACATCCCTGCAAGTTGGAAGAGTTATTAAATCTCCATCTTATTAATGAGGAAAGGTCTAGGCTGGGTGGGTCACTTGCCAGGTGACAGGGCACAGTCAAGTGGAGGGAATGGAGGTGACACCTCGGTTACCCAGTGTCTATGTGAACTCTGGTAAGTCATTGGAGCTCCTTCTTCTTTAGTTTTCATGTGTACAAAGTAGGAACACCTCCCTGGGTTGCTGAGTTCATGCAGAATGCTTGACGGACAGGTAGTAAGTTGGGTTTTTTTTTTTTAAATATTTATTTTTTAGGTGTAGATGGACACAACACAATGCCTTTTTTTTTTTTATGTGGTGCTGAGGATCGAACCTGGGTACCTCCTGTGCTAGGCGAGCGCTCCACCACTGAGCCACAATCCCAGCCCCCAGGTAGTAAGTTTTAATGTTAACAGCAGCCTTGTCAAGGGCCCATTGCGGGTCAGGCACCCACTAGTTTTAGAAATGCAAATGCTGCCACTCCACCACATAAATAATTCAGTTCTAACTCTCATTTTAGCTAAAAATTCAGACAATATACAGCATCAAGTCACTAATATTTGACATAAAACAAGTAAAGATATTGGAATGTGTTTTATGTTCTGTGGGATAATTGTTTTAAAAGAAAGGGGGGAAAAAAAAAAACCCTCCCAAACTGTTCAAAGTATACCAGTGGTTTGCTGATTTAAACTCACCTTCCTTGATCTTTCCAGATTCAATATAAGGGGTAAGAAATAATGGCTGTCCTGTATCTCCCCTAGGAGGCTGGAAAACCTGGGCACGTTGGTACAAGGAGCGAAACAGCCCATCACAAGGGCTGAATGTAAGCAGGGCCAACAAAACAATCACTTTCCACATGGTGCAACCTGGTCCTTCTGGGGTCTAGGATGAATGAAAACAGTTACATTCCACAAATGAATCCAGAGAGTAAATATTTACCTAGCTTTTTAACATGCAAGAAAATTTATTTATTCACGTAAAAAGAAAATGCCATTGTGTAGAAAGACCGTAGGCTGAGCAACTTAGACATCACCAATGAATAAGACAGGCCCGGTCCCTGCCCATCCTGCCCTGGCCATTTAGAGGGGAATCCTTCAAGGGATTTACAGTGTAACTGGAGGACAATTTACATTTTTTTAAAAGTTCAAAGGAAAATCAGCTAAAGCATAAAGACAAAGGCTTCATAACTGTCACCAAATAGGGGTAGAGAACATTATGCCACCACAGAAGGGAAAAGGATTGCAGGCACAGGTGACGTCTTATCAAAATTGACATGAACAAAAGGTGGGTGGAACTCAGAGAGGTGGGACAAATATGGAATTTCACTAGTGCGTGGGACAGCTGAGCAAAGCCCAAACCTTGGCTGTTCAGATGAGCTTTGCAGGAAAACTAAAATAAGCAATGGATTTCTGGTTGTCTCCTCCATCTCAATGAATCCTTGAGTTTTGTATCCAAGAACACAAAAAGTAAGAGAGGGAGGGCCCTGCCATTACATCCAAGTGTCTTCCCTTTTGTTACTTGATATACAAACTCAAGAAGTCAGACTCTCAAATGTATTACTCACACAGCTTGCCAAGGATCTTCAAATCTGATATTAGCTGAGAGTACTCACCTGGGCTAGCTATCATAGTATATATACTTAAACTCATACATAAACATGTAAATCATGTTTATAATGGGCTTTCCCTTGTATTTTCAGCTGATTGAATCTCCTAATAACTCCACCAGGAAATCCAGGATTATTTATTTATTTATTTGGTACTAGAGATTGAACCCAGGGATTCTTAACAACTAAGCCACATTCCCAGAAACACCCCCCTCCTTTTTTTTTTTTTTTTTTTTTTTCTTTTCTTGAGACAGGGTCTCACTAATTTGCTGAGTTGCTAAAGCTGGCCTTAAATTTGTGATCCTCCTGGCTCAGACTCTTGAACCACTGGGATTAAAGGCATGTACCACCATGCCCAGCAGAAATCCAGAATTATTATTGCCAATTTTAGATATGGAAAATTGACTCAATTAAGTATCTCATGCAGAGACATGAAAGTACAGAAACCAGGACTTGACCTAGGTCAGGGCCAGGATGGGGGAGAAGGAAGTGAGGTATAGAAGCAGGGTCAGAAAACATCTTTATCTAGAATTTTGGCTTATTTTTGTTTCTGTCATGGATTCTTTTAGCCTTATATGGATTGTTTTCAAATATTTCAGTAATATTTATATATTTAAATATTTATATTTATATATTTAAATATTTATATTTTAACTATTTATCTTGATTACTGAGCTTTTCTGATACTCTTCATCTTTCCACCAGAGGCAGATTACCCTCTTGTCCCATCCTAATCCCAACCCTGCTGAGTGTATTGTGATAGCTACTCCAGCACCATCACATTACCCTGCTGCTATTTAAGTATGATCCAAATCCTTAGCTCTAAATTCTAAGTAAAGTATTTTAAATGAATAAATACTCCATTCACTCAGCTTTCTGGATGCAAAATAAAATATACAATTATGCAAATACAATGGCTGCTTTTGATTGTTCAGTGCTTTAAAATGCCAAGCCATTTAGAACATCTCAAAAATACAAAATGTGTAAAAAATCTATTAACCACATGCTTAACACAATCCAATTTGGCATAATATGAAAATACTAGTTGTTGCAAATTTAAAATGCTTTTCAGCCACATTTTCCCATCAACACAAAAGTTTATAATCATAACTTGATTGAATATACGACCCTTGTCATGTCTCTCAGGGTTAACCTAATAGAATTCCCCACACTTAATGTAAATAAGTCCAACCCAATATGGTATGGAGTGAAAAAAAATGTTTTTGCATCTTATTGACTATAATAAGGAACAAAATGAATTTAGAAATTGAAATTAAGTTTGCAAGGAGCTCAAGGGTAATGACCACTATGGCACGGTTAAGACATTTTTAAAAAATATGTGAACTTGTTACACTGATATTTTAATAGGATAGCTACTAAATGCCTGAAATCCACTATCCTATTCTGATGGTGGCGGGGGTATGATGCTAAAAAATAATAGAAAACATCTCTTCCAGTAAGAGGTATTTTTCCTGGGGGCAGAAACAAGAAACCAATCCTGCCATCTATTCTCAGTCTTCTAGCTGTAAACCTCCAGTCCCCTGTAATGGAAATTATTAATAATTAAATAACCACAGTAGTCACGGTAAAGCTTCCCTTGCAAGCAGAGGTTGACTCAAAGATGCCAAAATATGATAGAGGTCTTGTTTTAATTGACGTATATCGAAGACATAAAAGTAAGAGTTAGGTCAATTTAGCAGGTCTCATTAACATTTAATCAAATAGCTATTTGAGTCATAATTTCCCATGTAGGTGAATTAAAGCAACAACAGACTTCATTTCATGGTTCTCATATAACAGTCACAATTCCTCAATGGTACGTACCTGTTGTCTCTCCTAATGAAAATGAATGCTATTATGAATAGTAGAGTGGGTTTTTTTTTAAAAAAAAAAACATACCCTTCTCTAATGCTTTTGCTTACCCTAATTAGCCTGAATATTTTTCTTTATTAAACATTTCTTGAGCACTTTATAACTAACAAACCCTGTACATAATAGGCTATCTATAGAAAAAAATGTATTAACCATACACATCATCATCTCTGCTTGAAATAATGGGAAAACATTGTGGCTACTCCAAGTTCAAGTTCATCATCTTGAAGGATTCAGTCCAAATGGTCCTCTTAAAAAATATTTAGAAACAGAATAAAATCTAGGTGAACTCAAGCGATACCAGCAGAATCCAATAAAGTTTGAAAGTATCTGACTTGCTAAAATTGTCTTATTAAATCTTAAATGTTAGTTGGAAACCATGTGTCCAATATGCAATTTTAAAATATTTAACCAAGCTATTTATCCCAGAGCTCTTCAGAAAAATACAAACTGTCAACAATTTAAACTTTCAGCAATAAGACATGAGACAAGTAAGTTACTATACGCCAAAAGGATGGAATTATATACAGCAATTAAAATGACTCTACTGGGAATGCTTTAGAAAATATAATCAACTATTAGGTAAAGAAAAGAAGAACACTAGGTTAGATTTGTGGTACTTTCTCCTTATTTAATAGTTTCAAGTATTAAATAAGTTTTCTATAATAATTACTCTTATAACTAGAAAAAGTTTTTTTCTGATTTTTTGCTTTATCTTAAAGTGAAGCAACTGATAGACATGGCAAAAATGTGCTTGTTCCCTATTCCTTTTTTTTCCTACCTGGTTATGACCTCTTGGGTTTCCTAGGAATAAGGTTCTGTTTGCACTTCTAGAACAGGTTGCTCTTTCTCCAACATTCTGTTAAGATGTGTCCTAATCTCCTAAACCCACAGAACCTCAAAGACTCAAGATCATGTTTCTTCTTTGGGAAATTAGAAGGCTCCTGATAAAGGTGAGATGCTGTTACATTAATAATTAATAGTATATTTGTATTTAATTCTGCCTAGAGTTCATAACAAATATGCACATAAGTGGCACTAAATAAATATTTGTTGAATTGATGGGTCTAAGTAATGAACCACACTATTTTAGGCCTCGATGAGACAATAATGTTCATGTGGTCCAATTCCTTCAAATGATGGACTAGAAAAGTAAAGCCAGAGGAATAGTTGACTTAATCAAGTTGACATCACTGGTGAGTGGCAGGGCCACCCCTCAAAGCCAGGATTTATTTATGGCACTCAATCTAATCTTATTTCCATTGTCCCATCTTTGGTTATTCAAATATTCTGACTCTTACTGACTTATTAAAGAACAGCAGCCTGTAATAATCCCTTTGGTAGACATTGCCAATAAAATAAATAAACAAACAATAAAGAGAAACATAGGTAGACTTTTTCAGAGAAGTTTGATTTTTAGAAACAACTCTATAATAATCCAGGTTCAGTACTTTAACATATTAGTGCACCCTGGCAAAACAGCAACTTGTCTGATCATACTCGGTGTGCTAGAGCCAGCCCAAGAAGAGGGGCCTGCAAAAGTTTCAGGAACTTTGCAAACCAATTAGTCAATACAACCATTGTTAAATATTAAAACATAAAGACTTATCCTGGAATGAGTTGTATTTTTAAATGTGGGTTTAATAAAAGTACTTGAAAAACTCATCACTTTCTGGTAATCTTTGTACATTTTTGCATGACCTATGATCTGGAGTCGTGGTGTTTGCATCTGATTGGCATACAGTTACAAAGAGTTTGCTTATATTACAGTTTGCTTCTGCACATCCTCGTTCAACACTGCATCCAGAAGCAATGTTGGTAGATCAACATCTATGATGATGGCAGTATTTACATCACAGAAATCAGCAAACACCATGTGTCAGGGCTTTCCCCCCAGAGATCCAGCTGTTAAACACCTGCCTGCACATATTGGCCTCATGTGCATTATTTGTAAAATGAGCTGCATTCTACTTTCCGTTAGCTCACACTCGGATCCCAACTGGGATGGCCAGAAGGGACATAGGAAAAATCCTGCCCAGTTATCCTCTATGCATGAAGCAAAGGTAAAATACCAGATAAGAAGGCCTCAAAAAGAAGCCCGAGTAAGTCACTGGAAAATGTGCATTCTATCAGTGAAAAAATAATAAGAAACTACAGGACAAGGACAAAGAAACCAAGGGCAAACATTTTAACCAGCTTCTGTTCTCCCCCTTTATCTTCATCTCCAATTTAGACTATAGACTACTCTAATCAAGAGAGTAATGATGTTTCATGCAATAAACATTATAGCTACAATTAAAATAGTTATTTGATTTTCCTTACATTTTTAACTGCTTTAGATCCCACATGATAAAATATTTTAAAAAATAAGCCAACTAGT